TTTTAGTAAATTAGTTATTATCACTAATATTCAGTTTATAATTAATTATCAACTAAAACTTTTTTTATTGCTAATTTAAAAAAAAAAGACCTAGTTTGTAAAAATTACAAAGCATTCAATAAAATAATAAATCAAGGTTAGTCTAAATAGGCCGGTAAGGATCACATTTTCGCTTTTAATATTTCCAGTTAATCAACTCAATTATAATTACCATTAAATTTATAGATAAAAATTAATTACGAATTAATTAAATAGGTACTCACCTTTCTATAAAATACAAAATCAAGATTATAATTAAAAAGTTTAATTAAAAAAAAAATTATATATTTATATTGAAGGAGAACTTTCAGAAAACCATATTAATTTTTTTCATAAAAAAAAAATGTGTAAATAATAGTAAATGTTACTTGGTTGTAAATATGTTAAACAGTAAGTCACTATAATGTATAATGTATGACACTATAATGTATTGACTTTGAATTTAATGAAAATAATGGTATTAATTGCAAACGAAAAATGATTCTGAGCGAAGACGGTCTGACATTAGCCACTCAGCCATCATAATATAAGTATGTTCTATGATGTTTTTAAAATGTTATTAAATAGTAATTTATTTTACTATTATGAACAATATGGAACTTAATTTAAATTTATTTTTGACGAAAACATTGCATATATCATATTATTAATATTAAATTGTAATAATAATATTTATTTTTATTGTATCGTATTATTAACTTTTGAGTGATTGAGTCAGTACACAGTATGTACTGTTAACGGTGTGAATATGCTCATGGTCAAAATAGTGATAAATGACAATAGACAATATAGCATACAAATATAAAATGAATCTAAATATTTTTAAAATGGCATTATGTATGTAAAATATAATAATATATATAACATGTACATTGAACATTTAAGTTTTAAGTTCCCACAAATAATATGAATAATATTTTTAAATTACAATAAACTAAAATGTTTATAAAAAAAAATTGAGCACATTTATGCATTTTTAATATTTTTTAATAATTGTAATGAAAACTCACAAAGAACCAACATTGTATTAAATTTTTAAATATTTTGACCAAGTAAATACTTTTTATTGAATATATAAAAATGTTGAATAACTATAAATAGCTAAAAAAGGTCAAAATATTTTGAAAATTATGCCATGTATTAAAAAAATTTGGTTAAAATTTCAAATAACTATGGTTATTTGTTTTTGAGTTACACCAAAAAAACAAAATTAATTTTATCAAAAGTCAAATTTGCGTAAAAATTCCAGTTTTTCTTAAATCTATTTTTGTTTTCTCCAATTATAAACTATTATAATTATATAGTTAAAGAAGTCAAAAACTATAATTAAAAATTTGATTAATAATAACATGAAAAATTCAAAAGTTTAACAATTTTCTTGAAAAAAATAAAGCCATTGTTTTTAGGTATATTGTGTAGGTAATACCTAAAATAAGGTAGGTAGGTTTATAAAATTCTAATAATCGGAATACAAGTAAACGAATAATTAAACAAACATGTCACTCTCTACATATACCAAAGAATAATTGATTAACTTAAGACATTTTCCAAACAAAAGTAAAAAATTTGAATAAACACTTAATAAGTCTAAAAATTAAATTTTTAAAACGTAATTTGATTTTTCAGGACATTATTTAGATTTTATATATTTAATTAATAAAAACCAAAATGGCAATTTTAGAGATAAACAAACAATATTGAATATTATATCAAATCTGTTGTGTTATGTCCACAAAAAGTAAAGTGAATGGGCACATGAAAAAGAGAATTATTTCTAAAAGTAATTTGGGATCTTAAAAGTCAATGTTGGAGAAAAAGTTAGGAAAAAATAAGTTCATAAGTTTTGTAAATAGTTGTATACAATGTTAACCAGACTTTGTGAAAAAATATTAAATATTTTTTTATTAAAATGAGATATAAAATAAATATTCATGTCACTTGATGGTTTTTACAATTATTAATGGAGTTGATAAAAAACTGTATTCTGTTAGCCAGTAGGTAACATTTCTTCCTGTTTTTCAAGAGTTCTAATCTTTGAAATCTAATGTAATATGAAAATAAAAACCAAAATATTTTTCTTTTAATAAAATGGTTTTTTATTTTACTCAAATGTTTTTGTGTCACTTTAAAGTTTAACAAACTAATACTTAATGTGGACAAAATGTATGTAATATTAATATAGGTAAATAACACATACATAAATATTGTGATACTACAATTTTTATATTATTGCACATTGCAGTGTTATAAAACAAAATTGTACAAGCAAAAGAATGTATTTACACCATTTCTTAAACATTATTTTTACCTTTTATTAATAACAATTATTTGGCTAAGTTGATGCAAATTAAACGGTAAATAAACTTGGAATGATTTACTTTAAATGTTATTCAAACTAATTGATTGTCCAATAAAAATAGTAATATTTATTTTGTAATTTATACAATAAAAATTAATAAAAATAGTGGAATAGAATAATAATAAAAAAAAAAATTAAAAAAAAAAAATACATAAATATAATTGGTTTTAGATGCATTAACTTGAGCCAATAATGTACAGACTAAAATACGTTTTCAATAACAACACATATATATTATGGAAAACTATGAACAAAAAAAAATTGTATCTTAAAAATGTATGGAAGAAATATTTAGCTAAATTAAAAAAGATTATCTACTTTCAATAAAATTAACTTTTAATAATTCAATATCTATGTTTGAATTATCCAAAAACAATTTTTATTATTATCAATTATTTTTTAGAGCTTGGCGAGTACATAAAGTTGACTAGAAATTGACTAGACAGAAACTAAAGAGTAAATATAATAGTAAAAATAAATAAATACAAATATATGCCATTATAATAATTACTCTGGTCGGTTAGTAGGTATGTACAGGAATGATTAGTAGTATACAGGGCAAATATTTTAGAGACTACTATTTTACTATTTATCATTATTTAATAAAAATATAGCCAATACCTTAATTGTAATCTATATTAAACAAATTATATACTATTAAAATACTTTTATGATTTTATTTATTTTAAAACCATAAAAAATATATATACCTGAAAAACCTCAGTTCAAAATTATTTCATTAAAAACAAAGAGGTATGAGAAATGGAAGAAAATTAATAAATATTATCTCATAAATAAATTATATAACTTTTAAGATTATCAAATTGATTTTTTTTTTTAACTTCTCATTAGCTACAAATTGCATACCCCATTTACTATATATTTTTACATAGGATATTAGGAATAATAATATAGATTCTATAAAAATAATAACATGGTAAAACAGTTAAAAATAAATAAATAATAATTAATAAAGTAACTTGGGTAAAATAATAAAAGTGATTTGAAACAAAATCTGACCTAACTAAAATACCACTAAAAATAAAAAAAGGATACTTAATCATAGTAAATAGGATTTCCAAATAGTTCAAATATAGGAATATTATTATTACAGTCTTTTGTGTTTATCATAGATTTTCACAACTTATTTTACCTAACATAAACACATTATAATATGTTTTATTAAACGTTTATTAACATTTGCTATGGACTCATCAGTTACGTATAATAATATAACATAATGTAAAATTGTAAATTTAGGAAATATAAATGTTAAGATCATGTTTTACATTTTTATTAATTCACTAATTATACTAAATAAAATTTATTATTTTATCATATGTTGTCTGATAATATAAAACAATAACCTTTAAAACCGGAATACTTAGAGGTCTTTTTATAAATCACAGTTATTATTAAAATTTTAATTATTCAAAACCATAAAAAAAAAAAATTTAAAAAAATGATAATAGATAAAAGATTAAAAAATGAATGATCTAGGCAATGACATTGAGAACAAAATTGTTTTTTAGTTGTTGGTAGTAAATAACTTATTAGTTTCCAATACAAATTACTACTATTATGAACATATTAATACATAAGAATTATTATAGTATTAGTCAAGGTGTTAATTCCTTCCTCAACAACATTTTAAATCGTAGTTAATATTTATACTATTAATTCATTGAGTACCTCAATATTTTAAAACTATATTAAATCTATGTAAAATTAGTAATATACATTTTACAACCTTAATTATAACAATAAGTACTCGCCAAACTCAAAATTTTAGCTGAAATATTAAAAATTTATCAGAAATAAAGCATTAGACTAGAATATGTATAACTAGTAATATTGAGCAATGTGATTAAAAAAAATTTAAAATAGGGGGAACTTGCCTAAAATTGTTCTTATTACACTAAAAAACATAAAAGCACCTTTAATTCATATTAAATATTAATGTTTAATTTTTTTGTACAATACGTTTACATTACTTTATAAATAGACTATAAATTTGACTCTTCAAAATACTTAATTATTGTATTATTACTTTAAAGGGATTCTTGGAACGAATTTATTCTAAAGTACAATTACAAATTAAGTTATGCTTCAAACATTATGTCTCTGAAAGGTGTTTTATTGCACTTAATTTTAATAACCACAGTACCTCGATATAATTTATATATATATGTATAAAGGCAATTCAAATTTAAGAAATACAAATATCTATTTGATGCATGTAATAAATGCATTTAAATTTTGAATTTACTGTGCCTCAGTGTTACATGAGTAAAAAAACAAAATTTAATAAAGACAACTAGCAACTATTAAAATTTAGGATTACTTTTAGACTTTTTTATGTGAATGAGAATTAATGATTTTAAAAATAAAAATACTTTTTAGTTAAATTGTATACAAAATACAGTTTGAAAAAAAAATGTAATTAATTATAACAAGTATCAATATCATGTTTGAATATTAATTCAATGTGTATTTAGCCCATACCAAACAAATATAAATTATCTATGATAGTAAATATTCAATGATATATCAAAAGGTATTTTTTAAGATAATACATTTTTATTGAATAATGTACAAATAACTAAAAATCATCCAGATTCATAAGAAATTATAAGACTTCTTAAGGGAAAAAATTTCTCCTTGCTCACACAATTTATGAGGAACATTAATTTTTTACCCATTTATACTATGACTAGATTTTTACTTTTTTTTAAATATTATCTTAATTAAATTTAAAACTTAAGCTTTCCTATTCATTATAAATGAATAGAATTATTGAGTCATTCAGTCTATAGGCATCTGAACATAATTTGATACAATATTTACTAAAAAGCCTAACACGTCATGGTGAAAGACATCATCTAATATTTTTACAATTTGAACCATATAAAATAACCAACTACTAAGAGTTTAAGATTCAATTTTGAATATTTTAAAACATAACTGCTCCAGAGATCTCTTTTCTGTTCTACAAGCAAAAATTGACTAAAATAGAACATTAACATACATAATATGTAGTTGAAATAATGTCTAGAATGTAAACATAACTATCAATGTTTACGTAAATTATCAACACTAGATGTGCGTGAAGTTGATGTACTGCCATCTCCAGTAGAGTAAACTCCATTTATTGTGGTTCGATAGCTAGATGCAACTGTTGCTGTTCGCCGCATTGATGTGTTATCATTACCTTCAGATGATGATGGAGTTTCCAGATTGGATGGATGTGATTTTCTTAACCTAGCAATAACTTTATCCAATTTTTGTATAAACAAATCAACATCAGACTTTTTAACACCTATTGAGGCACCAGCTGTAATGTATGGACAAGGGTAGTTGGATTTATGTGCGCCCCAACCTTAAAATATAAACAAATATTATAATTTACATCATGTAAATTTTAATTTATGAATATATTAAGATTAACTTACCATCAAATTTATAACCACAGACATCTTTGACTTCAACTGATGATATAACTCTGCAACCTGTAACATGGCGCATATACATCATGGAGCTTAGCTGACTTAATTTTTTTGTATCAGTTTCAGTCGCATTTGGAACACTTAATGATGTCAATGTCATAGCTAAAATGAGTAATTTGTTAGACATTTAAAATTCACTGTGAAAATGTAATATTACCAATAGAAATAGGATTATTTTGTATATCCAATAAACGTTCACCATATTTTGCTGCAATTTTTCCAAGTTCTTTCCGTAGATGTTGGTGTACTTCTTTACGTTGTGTTATCAATTCTTTATAACCATTAGTACCCAAAGACAGTAATGTTATAAAGATATCCATAACAGGACTACAAGATGCTCTTCCTAATTATTTTATAAAATTAAATTGTTATTAATTATTAATTAATTTAATGATAATGTTAATAATTATACCTGGATAATTTCTAGTAATTTTATCTAAAATTGTTTTGTCAAATCCAGCAATAATAGCACCTCCAACAGGAACTAAAAAGTTTTTATCTGTGCTTTGAACAAAAACATCAATCCTCCCTTTTCTAAAAAAAAGTATTTGATAAATTAGTTACAAAAAACAACAAATCAAATTTGTATAATATTATTCACCTAGAAGCATCTTGAATTGAGTGCATCAGTCTGGTAGATTGTAAACCATATGCATTATTGACTAAATGTGGTACATTATATTTTTGACAAAGACAAGCAACTTTTTCAAGTGAATCTGATACTCTTGGGGCAAAACAACTGGTTGTGCTAAGAACACACACTATATTATCTGATCCGAGTGTTGATAACTGTGCTTCAATTGCTGGTACATCTGTATGTAACTCATCACCACATTGTATAGGATCAATGATTATTGGTTGCAGACCTATATAGATTTAGAAAAATAAATAATGATACTTTAAATATTCCTTAAATTTTTATCTAGAAGATTTTCACTTGCCAGCTGTAATTATGCACTTAAAACATGATTTTTGATCTATTCTGGACCATAATACAAACTTGGCTCCAGGCTTATCTTGTTTTAAAGTTAACATGCATAACATCAAACTCATTCCAGTAGCCATTGGAACCATAAAACAACCAGTCGCACTTGCTACTCCTAAATAATAATAAAATGTATTATCTATAAATAAGTAGTAATCTTCATGTTTGTATGTAAAAACATTAAAAAATTTAAAAAATTTGCTTAAGTAGTAAACAAATTTCTTTACCCATAAAACGGATAGACTCTAATAGCATAGCGTTGACTAATTTTATCATTAAACTAGATCCTGTGGCATTAGGTTGAACTTCAGCAATATTTTCAGACCGGCCAATACCATGAGTCATGAGAAAATGTCGTTTTGCAACTAAATTGCAAGCTATGCGTCCTTCTCGTTCACCAACACCAGCATGTTCTTTAAAGTTATTACTGTCCATAAGTGCCAAATTTGATAGAAACATTTCGATTGTTGCATCGTCCCAACCATTATCTGGCCATTTTCTCTATAATAAATAATTGCACTATGATTTTTAATAAAAATATATCACTAATAAAATAAAATAAACTACTAAAATAATATTAAATTAATTATTACAATAGATGAATAGTAGGTCTATTTCTAACCTACTTCTTAGGTAAGAAAAATAAAGAAAAGAAACTAATATAAAATTAAACATGCTTAAAACAGAAATCTGATAATCAATATTAATCAAGTTTGTTTAAAATTTACAATTTATTTCTTCTTATAACAAAATATTTGAAATATTGCACAATAAATTAGTTAATACCTTATAAACATATGATAGAGGTTTAAAATTGAAAATGATAGAAGTGATGTGAATCCTATAAATATGAAATAAATACTTTAAGCAAATGTATGTGTTTTGTTGTAAAATATATTAATGAATAATTAATCTTGTCGATATTTTCTTAACTAAACATTTAATCAGTAAAAAAAAATAAATTAGTATATCTCAATAAAATTATTATCCTTAATAAGTAATATTTAAGGTCTTATAGTACTTTATAACTAAATAGTTCACTGTGAATGATTATTTAAAATATAAACTAATCAATTAATAAAATGATTTATTCTTATTTTTATGTAAACTTTGAGAAACTGAAGATAGAAATGAATATATTAATGACATAGCTTAGGTTAGGTATATTATCTATAATTGTATTTTATTACATACTTGTTCCATTAACGTTTTAGCCAAGTTCTCTCTTGTTCTCAAGGCACTAGCTGCTTGCTGGACATAAGAAGAAGGTATGAGATTTTCAGCTAATGTAAAATTCTGACTATTCATTTTTACTATAGGTATTATTCGTATGATTCACATAATAAATTACCTATAACATACATTAAGTTAAATATAATTACGTTTAATCACTATTTTAAGAATTTAATATTTTTTACCGTATAGAATACAAACACTAAAAATGAGTACTCGATAAAAAATGCTATTCCAAAAACAATTATTTATTGAATTCTCGTTTATAACTTAAACCATATTCAAAATAGGAACGTTCGGAGCATTTAAATGAATGTATAATGTAATACTTATTTAGCCTTCCGAGAACATATTATAGAATTTCTACAGAAACGTTTAATGTTATGCCTGTCTTGGCAGTACACTTGGTGTAGTTACTGAATGTTGATGTTGCCGATGTAGGTAGTTATGTAGTTGGTGTTCAAGAATTATTTATTATTATCAAACAAACACAAATCAATGATATCAAAAGATAAACACCTATTTGATATTTCCCACAATCGACAGTGCGTAGCCGAAGCGTTTTAACTTTTTGCTTGTTGTTCCACGAAACATTTGTTCCACCGGTCTCATGTTCCATAAAAGTATAAAATTATGGAGCGATTATTTTGTGGAAAACGTGGTCATTGGAAGAAACATATTTTGGAACAAGTGATAATTGGAAGACGATTTTGTGGAAACAAGAGCATATTTTTAATTTTAGTACAAAATAATTATGTCGTTCTGTCTTTCTGTGATATAACATTAGTGGAACAAATACGTTTTGGAACAAATATCTATATACACCATAGACCTCAGATCATAAACTATATGATCCAAGTCATAATTCGTTCACCGCGGCCACTCCTTTGGTACAATGATTTACCATTGACGACAAGTGACAACATATTATAAACACCCATTAGTTATTAACAAGGACTGAAAAAACAAAACAAAAAATAATATTATATTTGTGCGAAGTTAGTTGCTCTCATATTATAAAATCATTATAGATTTCATACACCCGAGTATGAGTAGAAGGTCTTTGGATATCATAGAACAACAACGTTATATTAATTTATTCTGTGATTATAGCCTCGGAATAAATGTCGTGATTACAGCTTACAGCATAACATTACACAAGATTATGTAGTCCGGCAAGTCTTCGTGGTTCACCAATCACTATTACTCTATAATGATACTATATTACTATTATAGATAATATTATAAATATTATATTAAAATTTAAATAGAGTGCTTTTTACCGAGTTAGTGTGTTATCTTAAATCTTTAGGTGTACGTAAAAGCCGCATGTTGATTGGTGATCGCTGAATCATTGAACGCCGACGTCTATAATCTCTATTCTATTTTCTATAGTTTTGAGGCCAAGATCGGCAAGATCTGAAACTTTATTCTTAGAAAATAAAAATTTAGTTCTACTTTAAAAATTTATTAATAATTTAGAAAACAATATTTCAACCAAAATGACTTCCATTATAAATTATCCATTCCGCATGTGTAGATCTATCTTGAGTACTTCTTTGGCAACAGAATGTAGGTAAGTTAAATTTTATCAAAATATAGTAACTACAGTCATTTGCCGGGTCAAAAGACCCAGTCTGCAATCTGATCAAGGAGGCCTTAAGTTATACTAAAAATTGTTAGCTCCGCTTTTTACTTGTTTATTTTTATATTTATTAAGAAAACACCATATCCACATGTGTTGTTTCTGTCTTACTAACATACATCATAACATATTTGCATTCAGTAAAAAATATTTTATGATGTTAACTTTAATATTAGAGTAAATTTACCTATTATAAAATTTAAAGGTAAGAATATTATCTAGAAAATGATGGCTACTTAATAAATCTAATATCAATAAAAGCTTGTCATTTTCATGTTTTAGTAATAGAATTAAACTGTAAAGGGAATTGTTGTAATTCATATCTTAGTGTATTTGAGTATTTCTGTCAATAGTTATTAGAAGTGACAGTTATACATTTGCAGGTACTTCATTTTTTATAGAACTAAAATTTTTTAGATTCAAGCAAATGCAATTGCTAAGTAATTTTGAATTACTTAAAAATCGTTTATCTAGGCTATTTGCACAAATAACATGTATATAATTAAAAGTTTCAATTTTAAAACTATCAATTAATGAAATATTTGGCCGTTCATCTATTGCAAACGAATCATAGACACAAATTGATAAATAGTGTATTAAAATATATTATTTTTAATATTGTAGTATATTCATAATAAAGCACCTGTCTACTTAATGTTATCGAGACCTAATATTAATTTATTTTATGAATATAAAACCAATAAGAAAACTTTAAAAATATTTAAATACAGTTACTAAAACAATGGCAATATATTAAATTTAAAATATGAACTTTAAGTCTAAAGGCCCAAACTAGCCTGAGTCCCAGTCTGTGATCGCGGATTCGCAGTCCAGGCCAATTCAACCCTGGCCATTTGTTTAGTCTGTGGTACCTACATAATATAGTTTTTAATTTAAATGAACTGCAATTTATAAGATTTAAGATTAGTAATCGTGTTACAGAATTATAGTGGCATAAACTGATTATTTAATATTTTTCTAATAACCTACATTATTAGAAGTCAGAAAATGGTCAGTTTAATGTTTAAAAAGTATTTAGGTTAACACCAATAATTATGTATAAGAAATTCATTTTTATTTATTGTAAACTAACATGTTTTAGGTACTTAATTAATGGATATTTTTTTCTATTAAATTAAAAAAAAAAGTTAGGAGATTAAATTGTGTTTGGGTTGAATTATATAGTATGAAAAAAATGTAAAATTATTGTATATCTATTATGTATTGTATTGCTCAGAATATATTTTATTTAAATTAAAATATGTATATATTAATAAATCTCAATTACTTATAATAATTTAAATTGTGAGTTTAATTAAATTTTGTTATTTACTATTCAGGATGAATGGTGTTATAGGATATAACATTCTTCATCGTAAAATGTCAGATGCTGCAGCTGATAATACTAAAGAACCATTAAAAGAAAGTAAAGAAAAAATTGATATCGAAGCCCTTGTAAAACAAAATGAAGATTTACTTGAGGAAAATAAAAATTTAACTGTATGTTTCAAGTATAATTTATAGAATTTTGAACACAGATAGAAAAAAAATATTTATGATACTTATTGATCCTTTATGATTCTTTCATTTTAATTAGGAAAAGGTTAGGAGGTATTTGGCTGAAACAGAAAACATACGTAAACGTACAATTAAAGAAACTGCTGATGCTAGAATTTATGCAATTCAAGGATTTTGTAAAGATTTACTAGATGTAAGTTTAACATTTTAATTTTAATATATTAAAAAACCTATTTTAGTTCATCTTTAGTAATTTAAATTTTTCTAGGTTGCCGACAGTTTAAGTAAAGCTACTGAATGTGTACCGAAAGAAGAAGTATGTGATAGTAATCCACATTTGAAACATTTATATGAAGGCTTAGTTACTACTGAATCACAATTACAAACAGTTAGTATTACAAATAATACATTATTTTAAACATGTACATTAATCAAATTATACATGTTTATTAAAATAAAAATTTGTAATTATAGATTTTCCAGAGACATGGATTAATGTCTATAAATCCTTTAAATGAAAAATTTGATCCCAATTCGCATAAAGCTTTATTTGAACAGGTAATTTAGTGTAATTAAAGATTAAAAAACAATCGTAAATAATTAAATATTATTTTGTTTTCTAGGTAGTTGAAGGCAAAGAAGGAGGTATTGTCGTTGTAGTTTCCCAAATTGGATATAAATTACATGATCGTATTGTAAGAGCAGCTGCTGTTGGAATCAGCAAGGATCCAAATTAATAAAAATTTGTAGTATTAAATTAATTATCTATTGTGAAAATCATTTAGAATCTAAATTAATACATAGACCACAGTTAAAGTAAATCAATAAATAATATGTAATATATTTTTTCCAAACAATTATGTTATATTGTATGCTACTTATAAACAACTTTAATCTATGACTAGACAGGTATATTTATCAAGGATTTAGTGAAATAGATAATTATAATTTTTGCTATACTATATTTTAATAAAATAATTATATATTATATTTAATGTGTATTAAGAGGTAACAACTAATGGATAAGCGCTTATTAAGGGTATGAAAAAACCTTATTAAAATAATGACCAAGTATATACAAGAAATTGATCAAATTGAAATCATCAAAAAAAAAAATTATAATTTTTTTATAATTACCTTTAGTTTAAATATACTATTAAGTATTTGTGGAGCACACATTAAACACTAAAAAGTATTTTTTGTATACAATGTGTAATTGTTTTTAGGTTATTCATAATTCATAATGTTCTACTCCCTACAGTGAGGCTAGCGATGCATAATTTTTTTTTTTTTTTTTTTTTCGTATGGCGTATATGTCCGGGAGTAGGCCCGAAGGCCTATAGTTCGGACGCCTGTTTGGCAGAATTTTTAGTGGGCACCCGTAGGTTTCTGCCATGCCCGGGTGGGGGGCGGCGGCTTCTCTCTCCAGACACCGTGACTGCCTGAAGAGTGACGCTGCGCGTGACCGAGATTCGAACCGGCAACGGTGCGCGGCGCGACCACCGCCTTAGTCCGCTCGGCCACTTCACCCCCAGCGATGCATAATAATGGCACACATAAGATTGAAATCCCTACCCAGTTATCGTTTTTTAACACTTAAGAATGTACACAAGTACATTTATATTGATACTTATACACATTATAATGGTATGTGATAACTGAAATAAAAATTGTAGGATTAATTAATTTTATACATAAAACATTTACACCAAACATTACAATATAAACATCAATATTTAATTAAAAAATACAATTTATTGTTAAAAAACACATTTAAAAAAAATACATCCATATTTAAGTATAAATACCATAATTATTAAAAAACACACAACAAAAGTAATGTTTTTGAAAAGCAACAATTTTGAAAATTTAAAATTAATTTTTAATAAAAGGGATTGAATTCAGCCATTTCACTCATTACACATACTACTCATTTCTATTTTGACAATTATTATATTGTTACCAATGAGTAATTGATTAGACAAGTATTCTTGAATAATTTAGATTTTATACTAAGTTAAAAGAGATTAACTTTCAATTTTACCCTCTTAGACCCAAAGTCTTACATTCCGTTTACCATTATTATTAATTATTAAAAAAAAATGTAAAAAGATATGATTACTTCAATGAACTGATAAATGCAAGATGGTTTTCCGTTTTTACTACATACAATAGTAATCATAACCATGAACATATTTATATGTGTATACAAGTTCCATAAATATGTATTCATTTTTAAAAGTTAATTGTCACTTACATTTTGTTATCAAAATGTACTAACATAAATTTAGTGAATAATGGCTATCAATCCCTTTTTAAATTTAAACCTAATTTAATTTGTTGAAGGTTAAGCATTAAGTACAAACTTTATTAAGAAGTTTTCAAAAAAAAAAAAAAAAAAACAATTTATAGAATAAAACATGTAATTAAATATTTATATTTAACATTGCTATTTGCTATCTATTCAAACGTAATTTATTTTATTAAGTTTGTGCATGCTATATATTTAAGTAAAATTAAATGTGTTAAAGGATATTTTAATATTTTAACTAGTAAGAAAATTATTTTGAATACAAAATTACAATAGATGATCCACTAAGTAAACATTACAAATATACTTAAATACTTATATAATAATAAAATAATATGCAAGTAAAAATGTTTCAATGATAAAATCGTTAAAAACATAAGAAATCGTGGGTTTTTAAGTACATTATTTTTACCATTTAAACAACCAAATTCTTTACTGATAATCACCAAGAATTTCCATTTAATTATATAAAACACATTTTGTTAAAAAAAAAAAAAGTTTGAAAAAAAAAGAAGTTATAATTTAAAATTCAGAAATAATAATTGATATAAAATGTAAAAAGAACATTCAATAATTTTATTTAAAAATGAAATAAACTATATTAAAAAAAAAAAAATTAGATATTCTTAGTGATTTAACAGTAATGTATACATCAATGCAAATAACAACATACTAAACATATAATTAAGTATAAAACCAAAATAATTACCTGATCAATAATTGTTGGAATAATGTTTTTTGACATAATATTTAAATATATAATAATAATAAAATAAGTAATAACAGCGAAACGAAGCAGTTTGTTAACTAAGCACCATAAGGACTTGATGATCACAAAAATTGTTTTTAATAATATACAAAACTAATAATAATTCTAAAGTAATAATAATAAATGCATATTTCAAATAAAAGAAATAATAAATCAATGGCGATAAATAATAATAAAACTATACACTCAAATTGGGTTAAAAAAAAAAGGATTGTTCATAACAGTTAAGTATAATATGTACGTCAATATTTTTTATACTAAAAAATTATATATATATAAAAAAAAAAATAATAATTATAAAATAAAATAAGGAAATATATCAAAGTTTCACACTAACACAAGCAGTTTAATGTATACTTTAATCATTATGACATTGAATGGTTTACCTAATCTAGACTATAAGATAACATATCTAAATTACTTTTAAAAAAACGCTTCATCCACATGCGATATGTCATTTAAGTTCGAAGAAAAATCCATTTCTAAGGAATCATTTCCAAATGCCATCATACTAAATAAGCAAACAATATACATTTTTTTTTTAAGCCAATAAAATAAATAAAACATTTATATAATACTATATAATTTAACAATACTGAAATAAGTAAATGTAAATATACTTAATACATATAGCATACATTAAATGCATTTTTTTTTTAAAAAAAACATTCAGCTATGTTTGAGATTCAAAAGCAATTAATAATGAAACTACGAATTAAAATATTTAATTAAACCTATATCTTAAATCAATTTAAAAATTAATAACACATACACATTAGCATTAATCTAGACTATCTATGATTTGTTATGAAAACATTTATAGTTCTAAGCACACCTTTAAAAGCCAATATTATGTTTTAAATATAACCTTATTAATTTCTTAGCTTTTGTATTAAATAAAATCAATCATACTTTAGCACTATATTTTAAAATACAGTTCTTAATGTATAAATGCAACCTAAATAATCTAATAAGACTAGGAATTAACTAAAGGAATCAAGTTTTTAAATTCTATTCTATCAGTAAATTGATGAAAATAGGGTAACAGATGTAATAACAGTTAAAAAAAAAATTAACATCCAAATTGACTTGGAACTTTATCCCAGGATCATAGTACAGGCATTCCTAAATCCCGTCATAGGATGGCGGTTGAAAAAAATGACCCTGGACGGTACTTTTCAGATGTACTGTTGAGTTAAAGCAAAATTAAAAATTATTTTGTTTTAATATAAATACATTTTACATTTAATTATTTTTATAATATTTGGAACCTTTGTAAAAATATAAATAGATGCTGATTTTTAACTCGAAATTCTCAGGCATAAATAAATTTGTTTTTTATATATTTATAAAGTATAAATTACTTTTAAGGGAATAAAAAAGTACACATAATATTTAGTCAACAAAAAAATTGAATAGTAAGTACAGTAGTTACCATTAATTTCCATTTGTTTATTATATGTTGGATTCATCAATGTAGTAGATAAAAACAATTTTACTATTAAAATACAATGCATTAAGAAAAACCTATATCACATTAAACATAGCTTCATATATTTTAGTATTGAACAATTACATTTTAATACTTTGTCACATTAATTATTACTAGGGCTAAGCTGTTATAAATGCATTATCATGGCTTTTTGCAGAATTCTCTTTACAATTTAGTTAATCATGTCTACAAATAACATAATATTAATAAAACTGCATAATATAATCGTTCATAAAATGATCTACTTTTTATTTTACTTAATTTAGGTATAAATACAAAAAAATGCACAAACTGTGTAAATTTAAATTCAAGTAATGTAAATGCTAAATGCTGTGTTATTGCACTAATAATTTAGATTCTACAAAGTCAATGAATTTGTTTTTGACAAATATACGTGAATTTATTCAAATTAAAAAAAAAAAAAATTATTTAGATTGCATAAAAATTTATATTGATTTATCAAGACATTAAAACTCAATGTAACATATAAAAATAAATTAATTAAATGGAAAAGAATAACAACTACTGTAATTAAATGATGAATAAACTGGCTAATTTATATTTAAAATTAAAAAGTGTTAATATTTTTTTATTTAATACCTAATAATTTCTTATTTTTTGAATTTTTTTTTTGTTTTTTAATTAATTTAAATTTTAGAATTTAACAGGGATTTCATATTGATAAGAAAAAATTATTATTATTATTTTTTTGATTAATAAAATTGTAATAGAATAATTAAATGTTAATAAATTACAATTTAAAGGCTCCATATAATATTTATATGTTATCAATAAAAAATATTGTCATGCATTAAATAAAATAAAAAATTTAAATATAATTACTTATTAAAATTAAAATGGTATAAAGCTGATAATTATATGTGCTGGTTACATAAAATATTAGCGTGATATTAGTAGTGTACATAGTACTTAAATAGTACTTAGTTTAAATTTATTATTATATTGTGAAAAAGGTATACATTGATGGTCATAGTCATTATTTATTATACATACTCAAAATTAAATTATTGTTCATCTAAACCATATTAACAATGTACAATTTATTCTATGTACACCACTTCAAAGAATAAAAATATAAATATTTCTATAGAAGTGAGTGAGCATTTAAGTTTGAATCTATATAAATATACAAAATCACAAACAATAATTATTATGATATTGTAATAATGTTTCTACTTGAATAAAATACAAGCTGATTGCATATCTTGAGTTA